TGGCGAATTTTCAGGCGATTTGATGACCATTGACAGAATTAGCGTTTGACGAAACAAGGCGGTTTATTCAGGCTGCAATGATAATTCAACAACATTGTAAAACGATCGTGTTATCAAAATTTTGTCGTCGAAACATTTTACGATCGTACTTGCAAACGGTAAATCTGCAAGGGGTAAAATATTTAAAAAAATTCAATTAACTTGTTAGTAAGTCAGAAAATCCACAATTCAAGGGGAATGAAGCAGGGAAATTCGAAATTAGTACCACAACGTTCAATTTTTTGAAAATGTCAAGGACATTCGGGTCCATTGTGTATAAAATTCGCCGTTGACACACAAAAAATGTTTTTTGGCAAGTGTACATATTCGATATCAACTATGTGCTCCTGAGAACAATATCATATTGAATAATAATATATTTGCGTAATATTAATAAACGTTGTAAATTACATAAAATTTACAATGTTTGCTTTGGGATTTGAGATAAAAAAGAGTCCATGTTTTCCTATCCTTAGAGGATGTGCGGCAGTGAAATGTAAAGCAAAACATACAATATACTCTGTACCAGCCCGAGATAATTAACGGTGTATTATGTTTTGACAAAATAATGAACACATTTTGAGCGTGGACAATTGAATTAGGTTCGATAACATTAATAATGCAACATCTATTTTTATGACGGACTATTGTTTTGAAACGGAACTTTCAAAAGATAAATATTACTTTGGTAAAAGATGTTATAACAAGCTTGACGATTACGTAGAAAAGTGAAAAGCACCATGGTTATCCAATGAAATTTCTTTTTTTAAACTAAATATTAAGAATTTATCTTTTAATCCGAGTTTTGGTAGGTGGTGTATGTCGAGCCATATGCTCTTTGAAAATAGAACAAGATTGAAGACTAGCCCAACGAAGGAAAAATAGTAAAAATGCAAAGTATAAAGATACACTGGTAGATAATTAGACGATTTCTTCCATTTAAAGTTAATTGTGGATGTTGCTCTACGAGTCGGTGAACGCGTGTTCAACTATGTCACCTACTAGGTTATTTAAACCGTTCCTCACTGAAGATGGCGAAATTCCGAAACCCGTGAGTGCAGGAGGACCTCAGTAAGTGGTTCAATGCCTGCTCAACAATTTTTTGAATATTGGTATCTGAATGAGCGTTAAATTTATACGACCTCAAATATTGGCATATATGGCAGTATAGTATATTCAAAAATGTTCCGACTAGAAAAACAGCAGGCTGTGAAATCTATGCGGACATGATGTTATGATGTATAATTAATGCTTTTGTTAGTCTTTTTCTGTTTACCCGGTGATGAATTTTTGATCATTCCATTCTATTTATCTTACACAATTATTTTTTCTTTTGTTAAATGTGAGTATGTAAGATTCGTAAGATTACATAATTCCATCCATAACTTTTTTTTGCAATTATTAAATATTTCAAATCTATTTCTTGGGCCGGTGTGTAGCCTGGGATAAACTGTTCTCTGTAAATATTTATTTTAGGAAGGCTATCCTACTACCGTTCAGGTGTCGTTTGGGCAACAATACTCAACTAGATACACCAAGAGATGGTAAATTTTAAGTAGCCATAATACAAAACTATCCGGGGAAACTACAACGGAAGAAATCACCGTAGTGAAATTTACTTTAAAAAACAAATGGTTGAAATGCTTTTTATTAAGTCGATTTGGGATGAGTATTCGGAGAACATGAAGTTTATAACATGTCGATTTGTCAGCAATCAGAGGAGAAAGTTCAATTAAGGATCAATCGAGGCGTAATTGAGAAGATCTAAACACTTCAAATTGTAATCGTGTTTACTGTATATAATAAAATATTAAGTAGTTTATTGCTCGCGTACTCTCATAAACTAATTAAATCAGATAATGTTCAGTGAGCCTAATTAACGGGAAAACCTTATGTCAATTGCAACTGAATTTATTATGGAAGAACAAATTCTTAGTCCTTTGGGCTAAAAGTCTAATAAAAAAATCGATATTCACGTGATCCGTCAGAAACCTTATAAAATCGTAGTAAATTATAATAGAAAAATTGTTATAAGACTTTATTTTGTTTGTTTGTCATTAGACTGGCAAAACTCAGACAGGTCTGAAGCCTTATTTCAATTTATTTTTGCGAATGCGCGATTTTTCTCAATCGAATTTCTTTTTATTAAAAGAAGTGTGTTTCGGCTGGTTTTTGTTAACTTTTGGATTTCTACAATTTCCCAGATAACGTGTCTAAAGCTCCGGTAAACACGAGGTCTGGACAAACATTGCACAACGAACGGGGTGCCCCCGGCACAGATCACCTCCTATCTCTTTAATACACCGAGATAAAATAGTACCTAATTTTACGACCTTCTTCAGATACTCTTTGTATTTTTACAACAACGCAATCGACAGACAAAAAGCGCCAAAGAAGAAAATAGAGGAGATGGGGGAAACTGGAAAACGACTAAAATTTCACAAAAAGTCTATTCCATCACTCTCCCATTTTAGATAGGAAATAGGAAAAATTTCAATACTAATTTTTAAATTACTTCACATCCAAACAAAGAGGCAGCCAGTGTAAAAATTACACGTACATTTATTTTTCGGTACAGCCGAAGGGATAATTTTATTGCGAGCGTGTTAACTCATCCTTGATGTATTTTTTTAATCAGCAAACGCAAGATTACCGAATTAATCCTAAATTCCCGCTCGTTTCTTTTCCAGCTTTATACATTATAAAATAATAATATGAATAAAAAAATCGAGGGAATATCACCGTATGGAACGAGTCTTTACCAAATTCAAAAAGTCAAACTATGTGCATATGTTTACAAATAATTGTGTAATAAATATCAGTAGTTTTCAATGTTCATTTCGCAAAATAAACGTTTATGATCGGATTAATTAGGTAAGCCAGTAATCGTAGGATTAGTACTAAGTTTATTCACCATCTGATCTTGAAATCGGCTCTTCTTTTTTAAAATTCAAACTTGCCATTTATCCTTTAGTTTTAAAAGCAAATATAAGTAAGCACTAAATATTTTTGTATGGTATTTAATATAAATATTTTAACACTAAGACTGTTATTCGGAGGACCACCCCCCCCGGTTTGATCCGCCTATTCTCGCTGTGCTTTCGGCGGACAAAACAGACGGGAGACCCAAAAAATATTTTTAATATACCATCATTATAAAATATTCTTTAGAAAACAGTGTTACTTTTGGCGTTTAAATCGTTTCACCTAATTAATATGTCGAAACCCGCGCGACAAAAAATATACAACGGGATCAGGTGGACCCATGTTCAACCTGCTGACAAATATTTCAACGGCACTTCACTGTCATCACGTAGGAAAGCAAATTTGGCATAAATTTGAATACGAATGACTTCATTTTTCTGGTGTCTTAGTCATTCAGTTTACACCAGTACACACAAAAGTTTTTGTTTATTAACTTTTGTGTGTACTGGTGAAGGAAGTCTGTGATTTACTAAAATTTTCATTACAACAGTGAATAAACACTGATTAGAGGATGAAAATACGTATTTTCTTGGGAAATGTAGCTTAAAATCCCTTCTTTTGAGTTTATGAACAGGAATAGTATTAAAGAAAAGTATGTAGGCCTTCAGGGAACTAAAATTGAGTATCTGATGTTATGGATTTGCCAAAGACCTTATCCAAATTTTAATGATAATAAAAATGTATTATAGGGTGAAAATGTCCATCTTCCTGAGAAATGTAGCTTAAAGTGCCTACTTTTGGCTTTATTACATTAAAAAAGTATATAGGCCTACAGGGAACTATAATTGAGTATCTGATGTTATGGGTTTGCCAAAGACCTTATCCAAATTTTAATGATAATAAAAACGTATTATAGGATGAAAATGTCCAGCTTCCTGAGAAATGTAGCTTAAAGTGCCTACTTTTCGCTTTATTACATTACAAAAGGATATAGGCCTACAGGGAACTAAAATTGAGTATCTGATGTTATGGGTTTGCCAAAGACCTTATCCAAATTTTAATGATAATAAAAACGTATTATAGGTTGAAAATGTCCAGCTTCCTGAGAAATGTAGCTTAAAGTGCCTACTTTTGGCTTTATAATATAAAAAAAGTATGTAGGCCTTCAGGGAACTAAAATTGACTTTGATGTTACGGGCTTTGTCCTTATCCGAATCTTAATGATAATAAAAATGTATTATAAGATGAAAATGTCCAGCCTCCTGAGAAATGTAGCTTAAAGTGCCTACTTTTCGCTTTATTACATTACAAAAGGATATAGGCCTACAGGGAACTAAAATTGAGTATCTGATGTTACGGGTTTGCCAAGGCCCTGATCCAAATTTTAATGATAATAAAAATGTATTATAGAATGAAAATTTCTGGCCTCCTGAGAAATGTAGCTTAGTGTCTACTTTTGACTTCATGAATATAACATTAAAAAAAAGTATGTAGGCCTACACTTACGGGCTTTGCCAAAGCACTTGTACAAATATTATTTTAACGATAATAAAAATGTATTATAAGATGAAAATTGGCATATTTCTGGGAAATGTAGCTTAAAGTGTTTTCTTTTGACTTTATTATGTTTCTAATATTAAAGGTTGCCACAATAAAAGAAAGTAATAAAAAGAAAACAGTGCTAGGCTAGTTTTACCTAACCTGTGTTATAACCGAGTTTACAAAATGTTTTAAATGAGAAAGTACAATTGAGGCTGGTGCATTTGCAATCTACCAGTAATTTAAAGAGTGTGTTCGAAAATATTTTCTCAGTACACATTCTCTAAGGTAGAAAGTAAAAAAGGTACATTTTTTTATTTTAAATGACTAGCGTGAGAAATATTCTTTGTCATACAGAATAGCCATGTGAAAGAACCTCTAAGCATGAGTTAATTTATGGAATCCTTTTTATCTACTCAAAGGATCTCAGACTCGTGTCAACAGAGAAAGGATTTTTATTTGGGTCGAAGTAAGCATAAGCCGTGCAAATTAATTACCTGGATTCGGTTGGCTTTGGTAGGATGGTTTTTTCATCCATTCGTACGGGCTCCTGGCCGGTGGTACCCTTTGCTGGATTTGCGGTTCTGGAGGCGATTGCTGTTGAGGGGTGACGGGCAGTACGACCGACTGGTCGTCCCAGATCTCCGTGATCGGTTGCTGCTGTTGGAAAACGTGCTGCGGCCAGCCGCTTTGCTCCTCGTGCATACAACTGAGGTACTGATGCTGTCCGGCCGGCTGGTAACCACCGTACCAGCTCTGTTTGTACATGTTGTACTGTTGATAGTACATCCTTCAGCTCGCACCACTATACCTTCTCAACGGTTTTTGTCACACTGAAGGAAAAGCAGGCCTTCCTCCCGTAGCCCTTGCTTCAAAACCACGCCTACACGCTCCGCCTCTCCGACTCCCTCTCTACTGCAAAGCACTCCCACTTCCAAAGCTACTAACTCCCCTTCGGCTCTTCACCATTGCAGACTCTTTATATTCAAATTGATATTCTATTCACACTTTCTAAAAAATATATCCTTGCCTCTTTTTAACTCAATGCACTCTAAACTGATATCTAATAATAACGGTCGTTTGTGCTGATTGCTTTTTTTTGCGGTGTTAACGCGATTCCCCAAATTTTCTAACTTAATTAACATTTGGTCTTTACAGGTCGTCACTGTCTACCTATCCCATGGATGAGTTTAATTTCTGTTCCCCGTAAAAAAATTTTATAGAGTCGTTTTTGGAAAAACCCCGAGTCACTTAAACTTTTCTTTTTTTTTGTCCAGTAACTTTCCAGGATAGGTTTATGTGCTTAAACGAATATGGGCTTAACTACAAATGGAAGAAGAAGAAAAAGAAATAATTTATTGATTAGGATTTACAATTTACAATTTATAATCTTGTTGGAATCTCATTGTTTACACAATTTATACATTCTAAACTCTTCCAGCAAATCATATAATATAACAACTTAAAAATATAATAACTGAAATTAACATACTGCCCTATATTAAATAATAATGTTTAGGGGCCAGCCTTATGCATGTTTTTACTTCTTTTTCTGGTTTTGTACACGTATTTTTTATATACAGCCATTTGCGTGTTTCAATCTGTACTGGCTTCTGCTTTTATATGAAAACTGCGTCTATGTCCTAGAATACTAGTCTCCCATTTGTACATCAGATTGTCAACTGCAAAATAAATATAAAAGATAAAATACAAATAAATACATTACGATAATTGATGTCTGGTCACATTTACTCCCCCCAGAGAACTCGATATTCCTCAGGCGGGATCGAACTCAGCCATTCTCACTATTAACTTACTTTTACTCTACGGATATCACACACTCGCCCCAGAGAACTTGATAAACCTTGGGTCGGTTCGGTTCTAAAAAATACAAAATTTTAACGCAAACAAAATCAATACTAGTATATAAATAAAAAAAGAAACAACAGTAGCAAAATTTATAGCACAGAATTAATTCTTAATTTGAAAAATAGGATATAATGCATATGAATATACAATATGAACTGTCTTTGTTTATTCACTGATAATAAATGATCGTAGTCTCAATGCGTTTTGACAATAATAAAATACACTGACAGGCAAAAAATTCTGCCCACTTATAATATAACTTGATTTGTATATATTTTATATATTAATAAAAGTTTCACGTTTTTTAGAGTTCAATAATTGAGTCTGTCTACAAAAGTAAAACAAAAATGTAAATTGCTAAGGAAAATGAAAAGAAAAAGAAAAAACTTAAAAAACAGACGGACAGATAAAATTTGTTTTAATTTTGTTTTAGAGTTTTAATTAAAATTTCAATATGGCGTATTTCCTCCTCTTGCTTTAATTACAACTTGAAGACACCTCGGCATACTTTCTAGCAATCTGAAATTGTCCCTTTGCTGGAGGTTAGCCCATTCTTCGCAAAGAGCCCTTTCAAGTTCGTGGAGTGTATCAGGAAGTGATGGACGTACTCTTATTCGTCTTTGAGGTTATCCCATAAATGTTGGATGGGGTTCAAATCTGAAGAACGAGCTGGCCACGCTAAGAAGACCATGATGGTATGCTGTTGAAGGTATGTTGGTAATAGGAGGGTAGGCAACGCATGATGTTCCAAAATTTCATCCACATAGCGAGTGGCCGTCAAAGATCCTCCACGAACGACAACCAACTTTGTGCGACTCTCCATTGAAATTCCCACACCATCACTGAGCTACGTTGAAAAGGTCGGCTCTGGGAAAAATTACAGGCTTCGTACTTTCATTTCGCCTTCTCCACACTCTTTCACGCCCATCTGGAGATCGTATATGGGCGAAAAGCCACAGTACATACTGATTTAATCTTCTTCGAGCAGTGCGTTCAGAAATTTGGACACCTCGAACTTCCTGAAGCTGATGAATCGCTCGAACAACAGTAAGGTGCCGGTTTCGCAAAATTCTCAAAGTCAAAAAACGGTATACCTGTGGTTCTGTTACCCGAGGGCGTCCAAAACCGGGCCTTCTATGGTAGGACCCAGTTTCAGGAAAACGTCGAACAGCGTCTCGCAGAGTTTTGTAGGGAACTCCAAAGGCAATAACCGCATACATGATGGAACGTCCAATCTCCCAAGAGTTCAACGCAATTAATTTTTTTAAAATTTGTAGTATATTACAACTACCTTCAGGTAGGTATCATGAAACAATGAGGAAGGTAGTGTACACAAATTTAAAAACATCAGTGTAGAAAATACCCGTTGCTATTACTCTAATGATACTAAAGTATTGCCTATTTAATTGATACTTGTGTCAATATTACTTTCACTAGCATCACCATCACTTCCTAGGAGATCTCGCGGCCATTGTTTCTTCAGTCGGCAAGGAGGGTTCGAGGAGATTCGATGGGATGCGAGGTTTCTGATGTACTGATTTACGGTAGTTAAGGAAGGTTTTGTGAAATTTGCGGTAACGGGAACGGATTTCGTCTTGAACGAAAGGGATATTTAAGTCTGTACGTGTAGTTAGGTTCGATACACAGGAGCACCTAGTATTTTTCGTAGGATTAAGGATTGGGCAGTTTGAATGCGGCTGATGTTTAAATATTTGGGTGAACCCCACACTCCAGTCCATAAGACCATATCAGCTTAACTATGGTGTTGTTAAGCAGCCGTTTATTTTTTAGAGGTAAATTAGAACGTTCGTCAAGTCGTGCAAGAACTCTATATGTCATAACCTCCTGAAGGTTCAGTCGTGTGTGAGGATTCCAGGTCAGGCGTTTGTCGATGTACAGTCCGAGGTACCGCATCTTGTCCGCAGATGGGATGGAAATATTATTACGGAAAACATGAGGGAAGATCTTTTTACGGAGAGCGAAGGTAATGCGGATGGATTTGTCTGTGTTAAATTTTATACTTTTCTTTTTACACCAAGACCCTAGTAGTGTGAGGTGATGGAGTATTCGAGTGGAAATGAAAAGGTCGGAGATGCTAGAGAGAATTGCTGTATCGTCTGTAAATGTGAATGTGGTGGTTTCGGGATTTAATGGAATGCCAGCTGTGAACACCTGGTATAGTGTGGGGCCCGGAATGCTACCCTGAGGAACACCAGCATGGATATGGGAATATGCAGAGAGGGAATGGCTTTCGATGACTTAGAAAAATCGGTCAGTGATGTAATGTGCAGTATGAGATAGTAGGTGGCTGGAAGGATGCCCATGAGCATGAACAGCATGCCCGAGTGTCAAACTCGATCAAAAGCTTGGTTTACGTCAAGAAAGGCCCCAGAACAGTACTGTCCCTGCTCAAGGGAGGAGGAATGTCTATCACGCGATGGCACTGTTGGACAGTTGAGTGATAGTTGCGAAAATCAAATTGATGGCCGTAGTTAAGTCATGATCCTGAGCGAGGCGATTTATTTAAACTACGCCAGATCCTAAATAGTGAACCAGGCATGGATTCACGACAAAATTGGTGTAATGAATCTCAAGAGCGATATATATTTTGAGAATTTAGAATTTGAAGAATTCTTTTCAATAGGAGCTTTTCTAAATTTTACCCAAAAAACTTATTGGTCTATATGAAGTAGTACAACGTCTTGGCTTTTTTGGTTTAGGGAACATTAGAATATATGAGTGCTTCCAAACTATACGGAAGTAGGTACGAAGAACAGAATTAAATAGATATGAAATAAGTATGATGGCCTTTTTGTGATAATTTGATGATGATTTTTGGATTTTTGTGGTAATAAGATCAAAAACTGGAGTTTTCTTGGATTTTAGGTGTTGTATGGAAGAATGAACGTCAGAAGGTTAAAATGCTTTAGGAGGGAGGGATAATGAAATCTGTAAGTGTAAATATTCCTAGATAAGTTGTGAATAAGTATGGTCTATGGTGTTGTCATCTGGGGTGAATACTGTGGTTAGGTAAGAGGCAAAAGCATTCGACATGGCGAAGCGGGGTATATATTTTGTCGTAAGACAGAAGATTTTTAGCTACGGCCCAGAGCAATTTATTGTCCGTTGCTAGTCCTTCAGTAAACAGTATGAATCGGTCGTAGCGGCAAGGTTGCAATTCCGTAGTCAATTGATGCGTTAGTTTTATTCAGTTTTCGTTTATCAATCCCGATGGGATAGCGTGTATTTTGCCATTCCTTACGAGCTTGTCTTTTGATCGTACAAGGTAGCGAATACGTTAATGTGCTGAGAATAAGTGTTTTGTGTATATGTATGAATTGTTGAATCACTGATGAATTCAGTTATTGATAATGGAAAATTTGTCGTTTCAGTATCTATTCCGTGGTGTGTTTTAAGGGTAGTTTTCAGATTTTTTTTCTTTTTTCAAGAGTATTCCAAATTGTTTCCCGTCTATTGGACCGTGAATTTGTGTAGCTCTAGGGGGAGTTGGAAAGGGATAGGTGTCGATAAAACAGGACTGTGATCCGACGAGAGATCATTCACTGTACAAACATGTGGTGAAGTGAGGAGAGTTGGGATGTAATGAAAAAGTATAGAAGATCTGGGCGTTTGTGAGTAGTAGTGGGCCAATATGTAGAATCATGAGGAGAATACAGTTGAAACGTTGATCGGAGAGACACTGTAACACTAGGCCTCGAGGGTTAGCTACTCTGCAACCCCAGTGTGGGTGCTTTGCATAATCACCACCGGACAAGAAACGCGGGCTAATGCACTGGGATAAAATAGAAATTGTTGTGGGAAACGTTATGATTTGGTGGGCAAGATACAGCTGCTATAGCAAAGTTGAACACAGGCAATATGGGATGGTCTGTCCTTTAAGTCCTGAAATTTCGAATGTAAAAATTAGATAGTGATGTAAAGTGTGTCTCCGTAACCAATACTATGTCTATTCTTTTTTATTGTAGAAGTAGAAATTTCTAGTTCTTTGAAGCGGGCCGTGTGCATTCCATAGCACCCATAGCCAAAATTTCTCGAATTGTCTCGCATCTCACGATTATGGAAGTGCTTAGAGGCCTAGTTGAATTTTTCTGTAATGACAAATGATACTCTCAATTATGTGTACGAGTTGATATATTCCATATTTTCGCCTTCAAAATGAAGGGATTTTATTCTTTTCATCCTATGGGAGGAAAGAAAAACCATTACCTTCGTCTTTTTTACATTAACCTTTTGCGAGTTTTCCTTACAGTACATCGACAAGACATCTAGCAATTTTTGGGCTTCAATGCAAGAGTGCGCAAAAATACTGCATCATCAGCAAAGAGGAGGCAAAGAATAAATTACCTTGCCTCACGCCTAAATATCCAAACTTTTAAAAATACAGTACAGAGTCCGAAATAAATAGATTAAGCAATAGAGAGGATAAGGATACACCTGTAAGTCACCTTGAGTAACTTGAAAGCTGTCGCTGTCGGTATTATTTATTTCAACGATTATTTTGAGATCGTGAGATGCGGTCTGGTGTGACGTAGGTTTTAGAAAAACATTTTCTTTATCGTGCCAACCTTTCGATCTTTATTGAGATCTTCTTCACGGCACAAAGTGTTTGTTTTCTGTGTCATTCTTGTGTGTCGTGTTGACATGATCTCAATAAAGATCGAAACGTTGTCACGATAAAGAAAATGTTTTTCTAAAATCTACGTCACACCAGACCGCATCTCATGATCTCGAAATAATCATTGGCTAACGGTCACTAAACACCACACATTTATTTCAACTCTAAAATATTCATTTTCATAAAGGGATTTAATAATATTCAAAATTTGTTGAAGTCGTGAGACACACTTATCTTTCGACGACTTCAAATACCTATATACAATTCCATGTACATTTTTGTACGGTTTTTTGACGGTGAATTGAACGGTGCAAACGGTTTTACTGTGATGCAACCCAACCCAAGTTATTCCCAACTAAATTGAGCGTCAAAAACCTTTCCAAAAAATGTATATTAATGAGTGCATGCCGTTTAAAATTGTTAACCCCCCATAAATCGTATACTACTATCCTGGAAAATTAGAAGATGGTGAAATGCCTAAACGATGAGAGACCTGAGTGGTTTTCTGATTATGTCGAATTGTAGTTGTCAGTTTTAATGTTTATCTATGAAATGCATGCTGTTGTTTTTTTTAGTTTTTGTTGTGAAATATATGTTTTTATGCAACTAGTTCATGTAAGTGACTTATGTTGTTGTCATGTCTACTATGGCGAATATGTTTGATATGGTATATAGCAATTATTTCGGGGAAGTATTGTTCTTCAAAAATTTGTAAAAATATTTTGGCGAACCAGGAACTTTTTTTTGGCGATACTAGGTCGAAAAATATTTCGAAATTATTATATAAGTGCAAGTTGCAAAAACCAGAAGACTACTTCCAGTAAAGTGTTAGGATTCGTTTTAAGCACCCTTTGGAGCTTTTAATTATAAATATTTTATAGTAATAAGAATACGGGCATTTTTCGGCTTGATTAACCGGAGACACTTTTTTTTCGTGTATTATTTGGTAGTTCTACCTATAAAATTAATAAGGCCTCTGGATTTTCTCCAAATTCAACGTTATTACGGCTTTTTTTTTACAACTTTACAACTTCATTTCGAAAAAATTGTGTATAATTAATTTAGTTATTACAACTGTTAGAAATGTTAATTTCTTTTCTTTCAGTCTTTGCAAAAAGGTTCATATTTTGTCATTATAAGTGAGAAAAATAAGGAGGGAATAAAAAACAACTCTCTTCGGAAGTTTCATTTTATTTCTCCGTCTCTAACTTATTTACAAAGGGATTTCGAAACAATCGTACAAATTTGGCGAAAATTTTTAGGGATTTTTTCCCAAAAATTTGTATTCATGGATTTTATTTTTATTGTGGATTTTATTTATAGCGTGCACAAACGAATAACAGCTTTGTTTCTTGCTATTCAGAATGTTTTTGGAGTCCTTAAAAAAGAATATCGACTGGTTTCACGCTAAAAAAATATATTAACCACTGTCCACATCTCTAGCATTGTATAAATTATTTATTTTTATTTTCCATATCCTACATGTATTTGTAAAATTTAAACAATGTTTATAAAACCCAGGCCCTGAAGATGATCTCAATAAAGATCGAAACGTTGCCACGATAAAGAAAATGTTTTTCTAAAAACCTACGTTACACCAGACCGCATGTCACGATCCCCAAATAATCATTGCTTGACTTTGCTATGTCGCTCGTTCACAAATATATTTATGTATTTTACGTACATCTACGATACTCATACTATGGCTTGGGTTTGGCAGCTGCCAAACACTATGTTAAATTAGTCAGCCATTCTCTTGTTCTCCGTAAAGAAATCGACATATATACATAATTGCCTAGACGCATGTATAATACTTTTGGCCCTCATCGCCACCAAATGTTGCGTTAAAATTGATTATTCACGCTTCAGCAAGTCTTTTGGGTCCCTTTTTCCGAGTATGGGAGGAACGAGGTCTGTTTTATTGTACTTGGTATATATCTCGTTTTTTGTTTATTTTTATGTATATTGAAACCGAGTGTATTTATTAGTGTGAAGAGAGAACCGATGGCGGAATGTTGAGTACCGTTGATGCTCAATTAGTTCTATAGTATGTGCAAAGGGTAATGGAGTAATGTTAATTATTTTAATGACAAATGATGCCCTGTTTTCGGTAAAATTCATCTCATTTGATATTTTCATCCCGTTGAAAATATTCACGTTAAAACCGCGTGGGTTCGGAAAAAATTGTCTTCATTGAACGGAAAATGAATCAGTTACACATATTTGGATAAGATTTGAAGGGGAGAACCCAAAAAATGTGGGACTTAATCTTACTGAAATTCTGTCTTAATCGGTCTGAAATTCTAATTTACTTGAAGGATCGCTTGTTTGCAACGTCCCAAGGCAGCTTATCAATGCGCTGATATCAGTTCATAAAATATCTATAATTAAAGTTGAAACTAAAATAATAAACTATCTAGTAAAAATTGATAATTAGTTCATAGGAGTTATCGAACTATTATATTTAAATTGTCATCGGAAGCTTGTACGAGCGCAAATTGTAAAAATGGTGATAGAGGTTATGCCAGCCCAGGAAGCCATGATGTTATGCCATGATTCATGATGGCCAAAACATGAAAGATACATGGTAAAAAAGCTAACTATCAAAATTCAATAAAAAATAAACACTTCTGGAATAAATTACGAAAGCATGGAAATATTTTTTGACCCCAGATGAAATTTGGTGACATATCCTGGGAGAACTGTGTTTTTTCTTTCTTTTTTTTGCACAAATATATTTAGTATTATGTGGAAATAATGTTTACAATACGTCCGGATGTTTGCAAGCGAGGACATGCAGTAATAAATCAGTTGAGGGGTGGACAAGGCAATGCCGCCCACATGAGTGGAAAAACGAAGGAAATGTATTTATTAGCTATTATGAAAGGATCAATTTCAAAATAATATGCAATTGTGATCAAATTAATCGATTTAAAAAATTCATTAGGTTGAAGAACGAATTTTGAACATTGTCCCGAGAAAATTCATTGGATCCGTAAATAATCCATAAATTCAAAAACTTTTAATTAAAATTTAAAATTTAAATTTAAAAGGTAATTACCCTATAATTTTTTTCTGTTTCAATCGTTCGGCCACGTTGTAATTTATTATCTGCAAATGCTGGTTGCTATAGCACTCCTGTATTTCACGTTCATGTTATCTGATTGCCTGACCCAGGCATAGCGTGAGAACCGGCTTCGCATGACAAAACAAATGTAGAATGGTGCAAATATCGAACTTACAGCACTCATATATCATCAGTAAAAATCATATATAAACTCACACAATACTGTAAAAAGGAAAATTACATAAGCCTCTTCAGTTCGACGTTGTAAAAGCTGGAGTAGGGCCGTTACGTTTCGATAAAAACGACTTTTAATTTAATCTGAACAATCTGGAACAGGCAGAATAATTTTTCAACCGCCTATTTTTTTATTTATCTGCCTATTAACAAATTAAGACAACGACACCGGGTTGCAAAATAATTATTAGGCGATTTTACACGATTCTTTAATTTTTTTATATTACATAATTCCAAAAATACCGTCTTTCTTATGTCAATTTTGATTTTATCTTTGATCAATAATAACGAAAATAGTTTATCTTGCAAGCAGTAATTTTTTCACCCAGATTCATTGGATATTTAACATTTAAAGAAATGGAAAAACAACAAATTATCGATACACATAAATTATACATTGATTATACATAAAATAAGTATTTTTAAAAAATTCATTTCATTTTTGAAAAAAATTATCGCAATCTAGCTATCGGTGTGTGTGGCCCGTTTCTTTCAGAAAGATTTCTGTAAACAGTCTACATTAAAACAAATCCGTTACAACAATACATTTTCCCATGATTTCCAGTTTTAATATCTCACTCATAAAACATATCATAATACTGATTTCCATCTGATACAAGTCTTCTGACGACCAATAAATTCGCCTTTTCTCAAAACGTATCTCGTACCTTCCATGAAAAAGTAATTCCATAAATTTGACAAACCACCTACGCCAAAACCTCTAAAATCTATCAATAATTATAATTTGTTCGTTACGTATCAATTTGAACTGACTCTCCTAGCTGATTTGGCCTTTAAAATGCATTTCGGCTTCCGCTATCTTCAATGTTGGGTGTTATTTAGTCAGTCCATTTTATACATACCGTACAAGTTATAGAAATGAAAGTTTCTTACAAACCAAACCAGCGAAGAAAGACTCAAAATGATCCGTAACGGCCAAATTATAGTGAAAATATTCAGCTTTAATTAATACATATTTTTGTGTGCATAACATGCACTGACCAAATAACGCACAGACTCAACACTGAAAATGGCGAAACGATTGGTAAAGACCAAATGACATGTTCATCCTTCCGCAAACTTCACAGAGAAATCTCACAATATTTGTGATTATATAAGTATGTACTGTTTCCCCATATCTACTACAATATAAAAGCATTAAACAGTTAAAGTAGACTTTAATTTTCACTCTAGTCGAAAATAAGACTAACATAATGATAAAGTAATTATTTCGTATATATGTTGATTATTTTACATTATTTACAATTTATTGGCAAGCAGGCAAACGTAGAAAATCACCTTGTCTTAATATATCAATGTGGTAGTATTTGTAGAGCGATGTGTTGAAATAAATTGTTAAATCTATTTTAAATACTTTACTAAATTTATTGCTAAAAATTAGGCTATTATTAAAAATTCTTAGCTATGGATTTGTAGTATACTAAGAAGAATTGGGCGAAAAGGATTAGTTGTAATAGACCAAATAGGTTTTGAGAAAATTGTACCGAAATATCTTTTGGCCTCGATGAAAAAATTCCCTTGCAAAGTCGAACCTTTGGTACACTTTTCTCCAAAGATCTTCGTTATATTGAAACGTTTATTTTTCATTGTTTAGAAAAATCATAGAAAAACAATCTAGCGAGCAGTCTCCAAAATACACCCATGAGCTTAAAAATAGTTTATGTATAGTATTAAACAGAAAGGTGTGAACTTTTCACTCAAGTTAAGGTTGTTGCTAAAAATTAGGTGATAAATATTTTTTTTAACCGCTTACCTATGGATTTGAAGTATAATGAGCAAAATTATTACGATTATTTCATTGTTTGTAATAGATCAAATGGATTTAGAGAAATGGTATCGTAATATAGCAATGTTTTGGCTTTGATCAGAAAATTTCCCTGAAAAGTATTTTTTTCAAATTTGGTACAATTTTCTCACAAACCTTTCATCGTATTGAAATGATTCTTGTATTTTTATTTTGTAATTCAATAATAGACAAACAATTGTAACGAGACATGTTTTTTAAACGATTCAAACTAGATAAAACAGCTTTTTGCATTTAAAAAAATGGTGTAAATTTTTATTTCATTTAGATTGTTGACAAAAAAACGATTTTTTTAAAACCCTAGCTATGAATTCGAAGTATAACTAAAAAGAATAAAAAATTGGTTATAACCGAGCAAAAAAAAAAGTTCAAGAGAATAATACCGATAAGTGGTCACTTCATGAAACTTCAGTCAAATAGGTAACTCTCTTTGAACACTAACGACCTTGAAAAATTGCTGAAAAACGGTTAAAGTTTAGAGTTTGAAGCTGAAACAGAAAGTAGGGACTCTCCTGAGAAAGCGTATCAAAATTGAAATTCATGGAGTAGAAATGAAGTTTAAACCAACTGTCCGAAAAACAATTGCAACCCCCTATCCCCGATAAGACTCCAATCAATCCTATCTTACGACTTCGGAAAAAACCGAATTACCGAGCGTACGTTATTTATATGATTACGTCATAGATTTAAAAAAAGGAGGAACTGATGATTCATCCTAAACCCGGACTTCGTGACTTAAAAGGATTAAAAGTTACGGACATATCTAACAACTGATGTCGCCTTGCTCTTTTCATATGAGGCTTTTTGGCTATCCATAAAAGTTTATACCCTTTTCTTGGTAAGTCCTGAATGCGAAAATGTGGTGAGATCATGATTACCTATTTGTTTGTATAGCGTCAAAGGCTGGAATGAATTTATCAATCACACTGGCTAAAATTATCAACAAGTTTCATTTTTGTGGTTAAATTTTGTTTTGTCACGCTAAAAATTATGTTTGTATTGTAACGCTTTCTCTCTGTTCATTCGGCGCTATTCTTTTAAACAAAATACACCAATAGTAAACACAGTGTTAAAACGAGATTTAAAATTAAAAGAAAAAAAGGCAGGGATGGAGAAGAGGAAAACGAACCCGACAATTAAGGAAAAATAAATGAAAGGAAATGGTGCCTAGCACTTTTACATTTTATTGCACCCAAGCCACGTTGACCGTATCATTCTAATCCTATGGTGCTCATTAGAACACACGTTTCCCACCTGCTTGATATCTACTCTTAACATATAAGGAACCTGAGGCTTTTATGCAAATGTTCCCCTCCGGTACTGGCCCCATACTCGCTTCTTTTTATTTTACAAGCCCATAAACTAAGAAGAGAAAAACAACAAGAAGAAGGGCCACAGTCTGTATCGGGTGATAGCATCACTCAAACCACATGACAACGGGCGTGATCTTTAGGTGAAAATGTATGTGTTTATTAAAACAAGATAAATTCACATCTTTTTAGTAAGTCGGTGGTAAAAGTAAAAAGAAAAGTTTAATTGTAAAATTTCCTTCTGAGGTTGCGAGGTGAGGAACCTGTCGCATCTGACAATTTTGGCCTATTCATCCTCTGTTTTGGTCTGGTTGACACGATCTAGCTTCTCGTCATTTCAGTGCTGGGTCTGTGTGATTCTTCTTAGACCTAGAACCTATAGGTCCAAAACGCGATAACTATTCATTGAGTGTATTATGAAAATGGTAAACGTATTCTCGTCATTTCACTAGTTAGCATTTAATGATGATTTTTTCATCATGTACATATTGTGTAGATGTGTAAAATGTGAAAGGTTGATTATGGATTTAGACGTTGTATTTGCTTTCTAGGTATCTTTTTACTGGATTAAATATGTTTTTGTAATGCTTTCACGGAAGTATAAAAGGGTCTCTACAAAAACGGAAATCACCCAGACCCATTAATGAAGAGGACGAGAAGTTGAAATGCATCTGATTGGCAGAAACAGTGATGACAGACAAAACAAAATGATCGGAAACTACCGAACTGCAAAAACGTACAAATACCTAATATTGACTTAATAATTAAAAATTCATATACTGGACACTTATTCTAAATGATGTGAGTAGAACCATCATTTACAAAAAGTGAATCTACGTACTACACCATCATTTCGTGAAGAGATATCTATACTTCAGGAGGTGATTTTACATGTCACATTTCACTAAAAGTCCCTATTGCGGAAAATATGATTATGGTATCAGAGATACCTGAATATTCAGGTTAATTCAACCTTTCACGACTTTAGTCCATAAGTTCCAAAGTATCTCGCAAAATGTTAAACCTACAGAAAGTTAGATGTCACCAATGGAAAGAGTGTCGAAATTCCTATAAGATTCATTTGTGTTCTTTTTGTAACCTTAAGCAAACAAAATACAAAGTCACAAAAAAGAACTTGAATTACACATTGAAACATTGAACATAAAAGACAACAATGAAACAACAAAAACACAAGAAAAACAAAACTTTCACGAGTTTCCAAAGTGCTTTGTGTTACTACTAGTTTAGATACTAGTTTAAGTAAGATTTTCTTGGTTCTATAAATACTGACAGATTTGGCGCTTACAAAAATGTTGCTCCTACTAAAAAGCATTAAACGTGTGTTCTCAAAGGTCAATTATTAGCAACATAATATTAACGTTTATTTGCTTGATAGACGGAGGTATATGTATAAATAGCAGAAACAAGTACAGATATTGCAAGGAAAAAACATACGGGAGTCTTTAACGCTTTGGGATATGTAAAAAGCTCTCATTTTAGCGAATAAGATAAACGATAATGAATATTGCAAAATAGACCGTTATTGGTCGCGGAAGGCCGACTCCTATTAACTTTTAAATTTTAACCTATATAGTGATATAATGGACGCAGCTAAAAGCTACTCTGGTTTCTCAGAGAAATCTTCTTAGTGTAGTTGTGAGCATTTTGACTAAAAACATTTGATGAAAGTGCTCCACATACATCAATTTAATTAGAATATTTTTACGTTTAATGAGGGCTGATGTAATCTTGATTTAGAATTGTTTAACTCCTTTTTAATGAACTTCCT